TGGAATTCTGTCAATCCAGGTCCAGCTTCCTGGCTTAAAGTGGGAATTTCTTTTTTTTTTCCCCCAGAGCTGGCTGTAGAGGAGCAGTTACCTCTGCTCTTGCCATCACTGTTCAATTGGAAGGGGTGGGGACTGTGTCTCTAGTGGTGCTGATGTGAAGTTTCCTAAATGTTGAGCAATGGAATGTCTAACTGGTTTGCTAGGATTATTTCTGTAATGAAAGTTTCTAATTATGCTTTTTAAATAATTTTAAAAAACTAAAAATAAAGGTTACAAGCTGCCAAATCTTTTTTTGAGGCTCTGTTTCCTCTGCTGTCCAGCACCTGGAGGTGAAGGGTGGCAAGCCAGGGGTGAGCTCTGCTGCTGAGTGTAAAGGGTTATTTCCTGAGAGGGGATATTAAAAAAACCACAATTAATGCTTTCAAATGTTTAGTTGCTGTTTTAGTTTGAATGAAAGAGGAAGGTGGAACGAGTAGCTTATTTCTGTGTGAAGTGAGGTGCCTGTGATTGTGCTGAAATCTTTTGTCTTTCTGCTCAACAAAAAGTATTGAGTGAGCTTTGAAAGCTCCTTCTCCCGAGGTGAGGAACAATCACCTGGAGTCTCTCTTCACTTTCCCAGGGAATTGCTGTGTGTTTAATGAATCTGTGCAGGAACTGCAGCCGTGGCTGTGCCCTCAGCATCCCCTTGCCCTGCCCAGGCTGCTCCTGGGCAGAGATGGAACCCTCTGGGAAGGTGCCTTGGCTGTGTCTGTGCCCTTCGGGAGGAGCAGCTGGAGGGGGCTCCTGGGGCCGTGTGGGTGGCCTGAGCTGCAGCTGCTGCCAGCTGTGGGTCTGTGCCTCTCTGTGTTTCCTGTCTGAACCCCTCCCAGTCTGAGTCTGCCTCCATCCCAGGGCCAGCAAAGGACACAAATGGCTGGAAGGTGAGATGATTTACCCACCTTTAGGTGTTCCTAAGAGATGCAAATGTTTCAAATGTTTTTGCCCTGGCCCCTTCTCCCCTAAGCACACACAGGGGCTTTACCTGGCTGAATTTCGTGGGATGATGCAGCACCAAAGATGCTGTTGGGTGTTAAATGACAGTTCAAAAAATGAGCTTGTTTTGCTGCTGGGTACAGTAAAGTGGTGAGAGCTGAGACAGTATCGTATAAATGATGTTTTATTCTGAAGAGAACTATTTACAAAAGAAGTAGAGCATTGTTTTTACTAAAAATATGCCTTTATAGATTTTTATAATATGTATCTTATAAAAACCATACATTTATTTACATGACTGCTACATACAAAAATTACAGCACTGTGGTATATGTACATATCTATAGGTACATTCTTTCTGCTTGTCCCTGCTGTGTGCTTTTTCCCTCTCAATCCAAGGGAATCATTGCTGCAGCACCCAGACACTTCCTTTCTTGGCTTTTTGGTTCAAACAATCTTGCTTTTTATAGCTGAGTGGGGAGTAGAGAGTTTGCCTGATGGAGAGGCATATCTGGAATCTACCATTCTAAGTAGGACAAGTGCATGTGGCCCTGCCTGCAGCCTCACTTCCTGCTCTCTCTGCAAAATGACTCTGTTGTCAGTAACTTTTTCATTTACTGTTCATCTCCATGACAAGTTGCTGATCTAAGTTTGTGGGAAGATAAAGTGCTAGTGACTTGCCTTTCCTTTACATTTGTTCCTTGTTTACAGTTGCTTCCCTTGCAGGGTTTAGGAAGGGGAGACTGATCCCTTTTCCCTCAGGCTGGCATAACAAACGTTTGCCCAAAGAGTCTCCTGTTACCTGTGGGAAAGTCCTTTGTAACCTTAATCTCAGCAGGCATCTCTTCTCTGTGCAATATTTGAACAGTGACTGTGCAGCACTACTGTTTTATTTACCATTATCTCAAAAGCAAGGCTGAGGGTTGTGTTTAGAGCTGCTGATCCCACTCATTAAATCTCCTTTGGGATCCTGAGTACCTGCTGGATTGATGTCCTTCCTCCATCTCATCTCCTGGAGCTGCTGTGTCCTTTACACCGTGGGTGCGTCCTGGAAGAGTCAAGTGCCACAAGTGAAGGAAGTGTCTTCCAACCAGCACTGCAAGGCTGATTCCAGGCTGTGACAGGATGGGGGCAGTGTGTTAATGACAGCACAGAGTGAAGCAGTCGGGACCTTGTTAAAACACAACGTGACAAATACAGGTGAGGTTTTTCAAGACAGAAGACAATACCTAGCTGCTGTGTTAAGGCAGTTTCTGTTCCTGTGGAGTAGCAGCTCAGCACAAGGAGGTCTCCTTTGGTGTGTTGTCCAGTTCATTACACCCAGTTCTCTTGTATCTCTGGGTTTAGTAGTGCAACTAAGTCTTTAGGGTGAAGGGGCTTGTTTGAAGAAACCATACCCAACTGGCACCTTAGAACATGCAGACTTTCCTCTTGCAATCTCTTCTGTCACTCTTGTTAAATAAATAAAATTGCAATGGGATTAAGGATTCTCATTGAATGAAGAGATGGGCTGTGCCTACCCCTGCAACCGATTGAGTCACTTTCCTCAGCAAACGTAGCAGAAGGCACCTTTCTTCATCTCATCACTGCATCTTCGTGGGGTAACTTAAGGCCCTTGCCTTAGGCTTGCATCCATCCATCCATCTATCCATCCATCCATCTATCCATCCATCTATCCATCCATCCATCCATCCTCACTGGGGTAGAGTCCCACACATGGTGGGCATGTGGCTTGAAGAGAGCTGGTGGGATCTGGGAAATGACCAGTGGCAGCAGAAGAAAGGTCCCTGAGGACCGAGATGTTCATGTGGCTCTCCTGTGACAGAGCACCGTTCTCAGTGTTCACTGGTGTCACCGTGTCACATTCTCAGTGTTCACTGGTGTCACCGTGTCACAGGTGTCACTGGCATCCATGCATCCACTCCTCATTTTGCAGGGATCCAAGGCTGGGGTAATGCATGTGGGTGTGACTGAGTCCTGGCAGCAGGAGATGCTGAGCAGGTGCCTCGTGTCCCTGCCCTGTCCAGAGTCACAGCAGAGGCAGGATGGGAGCATGAGGTCATGTGGCACTGCACTGCAGCCCTTCCCCTCGCTTGCACAAGTGGCTACAAGGAGATACTCAACAGCTGAGCATTGCCTAGAAAGGAGAGGCCAAGTTTCAGTTTCCTTCCCTGCCTGTGAGGCTCCTGATGCCTTTCCCCAAAAGCATCAAGCTGTATTGGTGGGGCTTTGCCCAAGCATCTCCTGAAGAAAGTTCTGCAATCCAGAGTTCATTGCTTTCATGTAGATGGGTTTCACCACTCAGCTCTTCACTATCATGGCCAATCTCAGAGCACTCTGCTCCTTGCAGCCCAGAGCTGCCTTAGTGCAAGATGATTTCATACCAATGTGGTGGTTTCATGTAACAAGGAAATACAGGAATGCTCAAATCTTCATAGGCAGAAAGGATATTTGTAATACTGAGGTATTATGGATGTTCTATCCCACAGGGAGGTAAAACCCAAGCCACCAGCCTCTTACCTGCTGCTTAGAAGGTGATTGGTACCTGTTCTAGCAGAAAGCTTGTTCCTGTGAGTAGAGATAGCAGCTCCCTGTGGGATGGTGTGTTAGCACCGAAGTTGCTGAGCAGGGCAGGGCTGGAGGTGAAGCCAGCTCTGTCTGCTGTGGGACAGTGTAGGTGGTGGCCTTTTGAAAGCAGCAGGAAACAAACTCATGGGTATTATGAGCTGGGAGAATGTGTGAAAATTGCATGACAGCAGCAGGACATCTCTGAACTGAGCCTGGTGCTCCTCACTGGCTTATGATGGTAGACTGATACAAGAGAAGAGCTGTAAAGTGCCCATCCAGTGCAGAGGGCAGGTCCCTAGTTGAGTATTGCAGGGTTTCCAGCACTGCTGTGTGCTGGAATACACCAAAAAAGCCACGTTCCTTCTTGTTGATCAAGTCGTGCAAAGCAGGCTCTGGTCATCTTTGATCCAAAGGACCTTTGGCTCACTAAAGGGCTGAGTAGCAACTGACCCCCAGGCAGGGACAAATCTCCTTTCTGTCAGGCCATAGCCAGTGTTTCTGCATAGGGCAGAGTAACCTGCAGGCTTTCCAGAGCTTTGTAGACACCCTGACAGCCTTTGGCTTCAGTGAAGGCAGATGCCAGTGTGCTTTCTGAGGATGGAGTCTGCCAACCCAGTGTCAAAGACTGACTGACATCATTGGGAGTAGGCTTCCAGTGAATTATTAGTTAGGCTTTTGGGGGCCTATCCAGTTAAAATGACAGTTTTCTTACTCTGCTTGGGAGATGTGTATGGCTTTGGGGAAAGGTGTGTGACTTGCTGAAGCTCCCAAACTACTTTTGGCCATTGGAGGAACAGCAGGTGCCCCGGGACTGAACATGCACAACTTTTATCCAGTCTGTAATCTGTTGTAGATGGTCAATGTCCTGGGGAGAAATCTGTGTAGCTACAGCCTGCAACTCTTACCTCTAACAGGAGGGAGCTGGAGAGGACAGTGACACCACCCATCTGTCCCCTGCCCTGAGCTGTGAGGAGCCTGGATCCCAGGGAGGGTGAACGGCCACGCAGAGCTCAAGGGGAGATGGTGCCCAGGCAGGAGCTGCAGTGAGGGCTCAGCTTCCACCATGGAGAAAGCTACATTGGTCAAAACATGGTATTGCTGGGGCCAGAGTGACTCCAGTCTCAGTGGGATGGATGAAGGATGTCACAGCTGCCAGGGTGATACAAATGGCTCCCTTCTGTCCTCTTGCATTCAGCTCTCTTCTTCCCCTTCTGCTTGCTGTGACAGAAGTTCTCAATCCCCTGCACCGCTCTGTCTTGGGGCTGCTTATTTCCTTCTCCAGCATAAGAATGCTTTTAAGACAATCAGAGAATTCTTCACAGCAGAAACTGGACTGTGTCAAAGCGCCTAAAATATACCCTGAAGTTTATCACTTCATGTATAGAATAAGAAAAGTTTCTTTCTACTAGAATCACATTGTCAATTTGCAAATCTCCAATTCATGTAAACATTTGGTTCAGACCAGGTGCGGTGTAAATAGTGCAGAGTCTCAAGGGTTAACTCCTTTGCCCCCTTCTTTTTTACTCAGTGAATCAGACTTGGGTCCATCAGCAAGCTGGGCAGCTGCCCCACTCCCCATCTTGAAGCAGGAATTGTTGGAGAGTTTTCTCTTTTTCAAATTAATTTTTCTTGAAAAAGGAGAAGAGCCGGTTTCCTTCGGCCCCGCCGGGCTCGTCCCCCTGCTGCTCCGGCCTGGGGGAGGGCCTGGCGCTCCGCCTGGTGCCACTGGAGAAGGAATAAGCAAGCTGGCTCCATTCCTTCGGGTGTTTGTCCATCAGCTGCTGGTCAATGACCCTGTGCATGTCATCCTGCAGCAGAGGGACAGGACAGGGCCGTTAGTGGCAGCTGACGCCCAAGGGGAGCTGGGGTGGGGCGGCTGAAATGGGAATGGAACGTGCAGTGATGAGATGGAGCAGGGATGAGGGAGCAGGGACAGGTCTGTGTCCCCACCCCACAGCAGGCTCAGCTGTGCTCGCTGCCACGAGGCTTCTCAGGGAGTGAGGAAGATCAATCACACAGTTCTGAGGGATAGATTGCTCAGGTGGTCTGGCACAGGAGCTCTGTGCCTGCCTGGGACTCAGTGCCACCCCTAAGCTGTGTTTCTCTGCTGTCTGCAGCCTGCAGATGTCCCCTTTGGGGAGAAATAAATAAGAACAAATGCAGCTGAAAGCAGAGGCCAGAAGAAGGACAGAGTCTGTGCTGAGCAGGTCTGTGTGCACAGCAAGTGGACAGGCAGGGGTGGCAGAGCTGCTGCATGGCCACTGTCACTGGGGCTTCTCTGGGGGAGCTGCCGAGGGGCTGGGGCAGGTGTGGGCCCACCAGATCCCTCCTGGGCTTTGCACCAGACTCACCAAACAGAACTGAGCTCATCCCTTGGACCCCCTCCTCCCCTAGAGCCAGTACAGCAGTGGGAGCTCTGACTGACACCTCAACACCAACTGGGGCTTTTCAGGTGTACCAGGAATGCTCTGATTTTGTTCATGTTTGCAGCACAGTGAAGCTCCTTTATACAAAATAATTACCCAGGTCTGTTGCCACTAATGATGTGCTAACATGTTCCTTGAAAACCTGGCTATAAATTTTACAGATTTTAAACTTTCAGATCCATTGCTTCTCCTATAATTGCATATTTAAGCTACAACTTAGTGAAAATGTGTGTACATAAACTAGCCCCACAGGAGGAATCAACTACTCCCCAGCAGTTTGGTCCCTACTAGGGCTGAGGACACTGTAAGGATACTCTGGATGGGCTGGAGTGGTGGAAGTGCTGTTCATTCAGCACCTGGTGAGGGGCAGCCCCAGGATTGAAGGGAAGGTGCTGCCATTGCCCAGCAGGTGCCCCAGCTGCTCTGGATTGGAATCAAATCAGTCAGCTGGGACTGGAAACTTAATAATGGCTGATCTCTTGTTGCAGCATTTTCTTCAGGGAAAAGGATTGATAGCCATGACCTGGGCCTGAATTTAGTATGGGGGCTTCCCCTGTGGGAGCAGGAGGGTGCAGAGCTACACAGACTGGGGAAGTTTTGGGTCTTTTTAGAGCAGGGCTGGAGAGAGGAAAGGCAGAGGGAGAGTTGAAGAGGTTGAGGTGAACATCAGTATGAAATATCAGTGAGACAGGTTTCCAGAGCTGAAGCTGCCATGTGAAAATGTACAGCACTTGGATTTTGAAGGCACCTCTTCTGCTAAATGAAGTAGGTACCCAGGCTCCTGCATGGCAGATCTGTGTCCTTGATTGACCATACAACAAGGGATGAGAAGGATTATGTATATTTATATATATATATATACACACACAAAAATATCATATATATATAAAAATACAGTATGCACTATTGAGAGTGCACTGCATTGGATCCCTGTCTGTCAGATGTGTGAGTCAGAGAGAAAAGCACTTGGATAGGGAGGATTTTTTGCATGAATCCTATTTTGCAGCCTGTATGATTATGTCCTTAGAGAACACTGTCATCTTGTTGACAGCCCTTGGTGAAATGCAGACTAGAAGTGAGCAAAAGCAAAATGTTACCAGATTAAAGAGTCCAATTATGCCCAGCTAAAGCAGAGACTTTTATCCTATTATATCAGAAACTTTTCTGCAAACTCCTTTGCAAAATAGTCCCCAAAATACATAAATCTCCCCACTTGTTTTGTGCCTCTGTGGGTGAGCTGCTGTTGAGGGGACATGAGGTGGCTGGAAACCTTTTTGTTGCTGTGTAGCAACACCTCAGATCAGTATGTTAGAGACAACTTACTGCCATGAAGTGGCCTGAGCCTCAGCTCACAGAGCTGATGGGAGCAGGTCTGGGGTTGCTGTGTTACTGCAACAGGACCTGTTCTAAGCCCCTAAGCTGGGTTTATTCTAGCACTAAGTAGGCCTAACTTTATAGCACCCATCCAGACTGAACTTGGATCCAGACAGCTCCTGTGCAGAGCAGAGTGTCACCTGGACAATGAGGCTGAGAAGTAAAATCCCAGCCTGTCTTTCAAGAAACTTTCCAGATACTAAATATGTGGATAGAGAGGGTTAATAAAATGTGCACCTCAGCCTGGCTTTGCCCATGGACCTTGGTGAAGCCTCACCATGGGGTGCAGGATGCTGCCCTTGGCTGCTGCTGGGATGGGGGGTGTGGGCAGAATATTGGTGGGTGATGGAGACCCCCACTGGCCCCTCTTGCCAGATGATGGTGAGGGCACAGAAGGATGTGGGTGATGGTGGCAGCAGATGGAGAGGGGATGGTGGGTGTGGGGAGCTCACCTCAAAGGCAGGAGGGGTGTACGACTAAAGCTGTTGGTACAGGAACTGAGAAAGGCCACTAGATCAGAAACCAAAGGAGCCAGATAGTAAAAAGCCCTGAGGAAGCAAACTGTAAGCAGGAAAAAGAAAAGAAAGAAGAAAAGAAAAGGGAAAAAAAAAAAAAAAAAGAGAGAGAGAAACGAAAACACAGTGGAGTTGAAACAGGAGCGAGGTTGTACGGGAAAGGTTTCTACTGGTCAGGCTGGTTCTTAGTAGAGCTGGGGGCTTGCATGGTCTGCAACAAATCACTATAAATGGCACAGACCTTTGCTCTTGAGTCTGCTCTATTTTCTGTTGAAGTAGCCTTCCCTTGGTGCTGCTTTTGGGAGGAGGCAGCTTTGTCTGCTCACAAGGATTTTCCCCACTGACCCCAAGCAGAGCATCCCCAGGGCAGCTGTGGAACTGCCATGACTTTGTTTTTTCACCTTGCTGAAGAACTGGAATTTTAGCTTCTCCTTCTTGATGGATCTTCAGAGTTTATGCAAACAGTGCAGCAACAATCAGCACAACCTCGTTCTCCCACCTTTCTGCTCCATCATGGAAATGCACAGACATGCTGTGCCCACGTGTACCAGGGTGTGCCTGCCTGGGGACACCTCCTGCATGGACCCCTCCCCACCCCAGGGCAGAGCAACGTGCACATTTCCCATGTGAGGCACAGTCTGCTCTCCATTTTAAAGGAGTTTAGAGCTGTAGAATTCACTGCTCACAGCCAAAAGGGTGGGAGCAGGGAGGGGCAGCACCCCCCACACCTCATGAGCATCGCTGGCTCCTGCAGAGCCAAAACCCCCAAACACCCAATCCATGGGTGCTCGGGCAGAGAACAGGACACAGCCACAGGGAGGGGGGACAGTGGGCTCATGTCTCACCTGCCAGGCCTCCAGCTGCTGCGAGAGGTTCACCTTCTGCTGGATGGCATCCAGGAGTTGGCTGTTGAGGGACATCATGTCGATCTTGCACTTGGTCAGCTCCACCTCCACCGCGTTCTTCCTGCGGGGACAGAAATCCAGACATGGCACCTCCTTCTTTCTAAACAAAGAGTCAGGCATATCTAAACAAATCTACAATTTATGCCTTTCACTGGCAAGTCCCCACATCCTAAGATGTTCATCTCTGTTGTATTCTGAACAATCTATTAATCTGAGTGAAGAACTTTTGATATCTTTACCTTCAAACCAGCAGATTTCTGATAAGCACACTGTGAAGAATACTGAAAAAAATCAGATACACTGCTGTGTAAGGTAATAGTGTGCCTGGATAATGTGCAAGATTTGCCAATAACATGGAGATCTAGAACAAGGTAGGATCTATATTCAAATGTTTTCTATTTTTCTTCCATTTACATGCATAGAAAACAAATGATATGTGCTAAAAATCAAATGACTCATGTCTGATTGCTTGATCAATAAATTGCAATATAAAACAAACATAAAAATCTCTTAAAGAGCACAATTCTGCTTTCACTTGGGACTTGATTGAAGGAAGGATCGAAGGAAGGAATGAAAGATGAGAGCTTATTACAGCATATACTTTTTAAGAATGAAAACCTGTCAAAATTATTTGAATTAATTGTTAGGCTTTAAGGAAAGCTCCCAATTTCAGTGGAGTTGTCCCAGCCCTTGGGAACACCTCTGCTGCATTTCTTCCCAGACATTTGGTGGCCATTGAGCATGTCATGCCATGGACAAGGTTACCCAAAGAGCCCCAGATGCTCAGTGGCTGAGATGTTCCAGCTGCTCCTTGCTTGTGGAAAGGAATTGTCCTTCAGGATGGAGCAATTTCCTAAGCTGCCCAAGCTGGGAAATGCTGCTCATCCTGCTGGGAGCACACAGGTGAGCACAAAGCTGAAGTTTTCAATTAACTGCTGTGTGATAGGAAAGTGTAACATGACTTGAACCATCTTTCCTTGCAAACATTTTCGAGAGAAATAATTGCATCTTATTAACTGCAGCTCATTCCTTGTCTCGTAATAGCTCCCTTGTAGAAGGGCAATTTGGGAATTTGTGTTTATATTCCAGGTATTAGAATATAAACACAAATATTCCAAGGTTGCTTAACACTTCCAGTTCTCATATTCCAGGTACTGGTTGCTTAACACTTCCTCTGAAAGGATCCTATTTTCCTATTGCTTCCCATGTTGCCAAACTTCAGCTTCAAGCAAAAATTTTCCACACCAGATGTCTGCCTCGGGCAGTGATTTTATTTCTGTTCAGACTTAGGGATTTTTGGGGGGGATGGGTTGAACAAAAGCAACTTAACCCTTGGGCTGTGAGGTGGGAAGAAAATCACGAGCCTCCCCAGGCAGAACCAGCCCACTCGGTCTGGATGTTTTCACTTCAGTGACAAGATGCTCCTGTCTGCTCTCCCTTGCTGCCACTCTCTGCTCCTTAATCCCCCTCACTCGTGCCTCATTCCCTCAGCTCCTGCATTGCAGGACAGCCCAGCCAGCCCCAAATATTGCTGCTTTGTCCAGCAGGGTCACAGGGAAGTGGAGAAGCTGTGCCCTTCCACTGCGGGCAGTGCTCTGAGCACCTGAACAGCCTTTTGTTCGCTTCCCCGCTGCTGGGTGGATGTTTCCAGGATTGATGGCAGTGTTGCCATAGCCACGGCAGAGCCAGCAACCCACAGGCACCGGAACGTCGCAGCTGGGATGCTCCTGCTCCTTGCCAATAGATGGAGGTGTTCCAGAGCACAGCCGCGGCAGTCTGGTGGCCAGCTAGCCCAGCAGGGGCAGCACAGGCGATCCAGCCACTTACAAAAAGGGATGGTGAAGGCTGATTTAGCTCCTGCACCCTCAGAGGTGCAACCCTCTCCTGCTCCTCCTCTTGTCCAGGGCTTTTCCCCTAAGAAGACGGACTGGTGGTGTCCTGGCCCACCAGGATTATCAGAGGAATCCTTTCTAGCAGAGCACAGAGGGGTAAAGGTGTCTGTCCCTCTCCTCAGGGCATTTTGGCAAGCCCAAGAGCTGAGGAAGGAGGATTTGGGATATGGGGGAGCAGAACTGCACAGATCTGTAAGGATGATGGGCAAAATAAAGAGCCAAAGCAGTGGGAGAATCCCAAAAGGAGAACCAGAGAATTACAGGACTGGAGATGCAAAAAAAGACCTTGGAACAGGAATGGCTTAGGGAAGAAGCCCAGGCAGGCTGTAATGGGGATGGTCAGAAAAGCAGGGCTGTTTCTCTGGAACAGTAAAGGAAGAAAAATGTGACAAATAGGGCAGACCTAGTGTTTGCATTTAGCTTCCTAAGTCCTCTCCTCCTCACTGTGACTCACACCAGCACTAGGGATGGCACAAACACGGCTCACAGAACACTCCTAAATGCCCTCAGTCCAGCCATGGGGCAGCTCTGCCTTTAGCATCTCCTGCCCTGCTCCCAGGCTCCTGGCAGCATTTCCCAGCACCAGCACTTTGTCAGAGCTGCTGTGGAGAGCAGGAGAAAGCCACTCCAGAGGCATCTCCTGCCATGGCACTCCTCAGGTGCCGCCCAGGCTGGCTCTGGCCGCTGGTGGCACTCACTTGGCGATGGCCTCGTCGCGGTCCCTGATGGCCTGCAGGAGCCGTTCGCTCGCCTCCTTGTCCTCGGCAGCGCCGCGCAGCCGGTCCCGCTCCTCCTTCAGCGTCGTCATCTCCACACTCAGCAGCGTCACCTGTGGGCAGAGGGAGGCTGTGAAACCCGGGGCTGCTCAGGAAAATGTACCACAAGCGTGTGGGGGCAAAGCCACATGGGCGAACCTGCAGGTTGAGAGATCCCCAGGTCATAGAAAAAGCTGCGTCTGCTGAGTGGGGCTGTTAGTGCTGGTGCCACCCTCCATGAAAGGCGCTGAGTGACTCTGGGACGCTCACCTGGGCAAGATGTGTCACCAGGGTGGCCTCAGTAACACGCAGAAACAGCACTGAAAGCTGGGCAGGGCAGGACCCACCTGTGACTTTGCTGACACTACTGCATCAGTGCTAAAAGGTTGTCCCTCTCCAAGCTGTTTGTACACATCCTTTGAGTCTGCTTGTTATAATTCTGATCTTTCCAGGGTTAAATTATTGCTAACATAATTTACCAGCAAATAATATTTTTGAAGGGACCCTTACATCTTTTGAAGTAATATGAAGCTGTAGACAAAGGATGTGAAAATTCTCTTTCATACCATGGAAGGTGTTACTGGCACATCTTACAATTTTAATTAGACTTTAAAATATGTCTGGAGTCTTTAATAGTCTGAGAAATGATCTATGGTTTTGGTCCTGTGCAGAGTGAGTTAATAGGGTGTGAAATCATGCAAGGATTGCATTAGCACAGCTTCACAATATTTCATACACATTTAATTTCTTTGTCTAGGGCATACATGCTCTGTTACACTACTCCACCACCTGGAAACCCTTCCAGCACTTGACCCACCTCCTGCCTCTAAATGCAGCTCAGTAGTGCTTGAATCTTCAAAGAAATCTTTAAATAGAGGGCAGACAGTCAAAAAGGGCTGATCACATCCAGGGTGTGGGAGGATCTGCTGTTAGTGAGGCACGGCTGGGCCGGGGGGAGGAGGGTGTGACTGCACCCTGTCTGTGCAGAGACTCCCCACGGGACTGGGGGGCTGTGCTGGGGCTGCCAGGGAACCAGGGAGCTGTGCCAGGGCTGCCAGCTGTGCCAGGGCACAGCTCCCCTGTCCCCTCCCTCAGCCCTGCATGGGGAGCACCTCAGAGCAATGCTGTGACACAGAGCAGTGGTGATGGGGTGATGTAAAAGATGCTGAGCACTTCTACAGAAATCCCAGGGGACAGAGGATCCAGAGGCCCAAAACATGCTGTTTGGGGATAGGTTTGGGATTTTAATTGGTTCTGTCTGGTCTTCAGGTAAGAATGGGAGGAAACAAACAGGCAGAAGGTGTGAAATAGCTTCTCAGTGTAGACAGAGAAGAGGATGGCTCCTGTCTCCACTTGCTCACTGTGCTGTTGGGCAGGAGCAATGAATGTGTGTGTGATGCCACAAGATCCTAAAAGCCATTTAGAAGCAGCTCCCCTTTGATTGTATCAATACCAGTGCCAGAACAGAGGGATGAGGAGGCAGCAGAGCACTGCTTCCCCCGGCTGGACCAGATTTCCACATGCATCAATTTTCTGTAGCACTGAACAGAAGATGATGTTGCCTCTTTAACAGGTGGTGAGAATAATGATTAACCTGCAGCAAGTGTGAGGCTGGATAACAGGCAAAGCTGTGGGAGACATGTACTGGCTGTGGGAGGCTGGAGTTCCTCTCTGAGAGTAATGGCTGCTGCATTTGTAGCTACGCCTCATCTTTCTCCACATCACACAGAGGTGTGAGAAGAAAACAGAACTGCAGTCCTCCCTTTGCTTACTAAATATTCAGAGCTTTGGCAGCTGGGGACCCCTAAAAGCAGACCCAGGGTTCCAGGCTTGCAATCAGGGCTGGTCTTCTGGTCCCTCCTGGCTGGAGAGTTTGGGGAGATCAGACAATAAAATCTGTGAATAAATCTCTAAAGGTCTCTGTCAGCACTGCCAGGTTGCAGAGGTCGAGCCTTTGTCTCCTCCATCTCAGGTGTGTTTAAGGGCAAGGGAAGCTGTGTGTGGTGCACAGGACTGCAGCAGCACAGCCAGGGCAGTGGCTGGCTCATGTCTCACTGGGGGCAGAAGAATGGACCCTCAAAAGTGTCTCTTGTGGTGGCCACACTGCTGAGAGGAGCAGTCCTAGGGAAGGAAGGGCTGCAGGGCTGCTCCTCTCCCACACTCTGCCCTATCAGCTGCTGTGGAAGCAGGACATTTCCCACCCTTGCACAAGTGCAGCCACCACTGCCAGGGTGTTTAATGATGCTCTCACTCTTTTCCCTTTGGTGGGAGCTCCCACAGCCCTACACAAGGCTGTCAGATCCCTGGTTGTGCTGACTGTCTGAACAGAGGTGTGTTTTCCTATTTATTCTCCAAAGGGTGATACAGCACTGCTGGGAAGACCAGTCAAGGACATTAATACCATTCCATGCTCCAGTGCAGTTGCTGCTGCTCCTGCTGCAGCCTCCAGATCCTCTCCAGCATCTGGAGTCTTGTCCCACAGAGACAAGGACTGCCAAGCACCTCTTTGGATGCCTGTGTCCATATCCTGCTCTTGGCACAGGGTCTCAGACACAGATGATGCTGGGTGGGGGTGCAGTGGGATTCTGTGCTCAGGTATGGAGTTGGTGTTGGGGCTGGACCATTCCTTGCTGTTGAGGTTGCTTCAGCTGGTCCCTGGGGTGCTGCCTGGTGCCAGCCTGGCCACAATTAGGATTCTCTGGGAGTGCTTTTCTGAGGGTTTGTGATGCTGCTGTGAAAGAGGTCAATTCAGGCTGACCTGAATTGCTGCACATACCCCCCTGTGAGGGTTATGTGCACCATTCCATGGATATAAAGGTGCTGCTCAGCAGAGCAGCACCTTTATATAGTAGAGGAAATGTATTGTATTAGAATATCTGTATAGAGGCTTTGCCCCAGAGGTCCCGGTTGCCCTTGATGGGCTGCAGCTGTGATGTCCTTAACTGGGCTGCAGCTGCGACCAATGAAGGTGACTGGGATAAAAGGGGGGGTGGGATAGCAGTTAGGGAGAGCCTTGGAGGAGCCCTGGCCTGAGAGAGAACAGTGTGCAGAAGAAGGGGTCAGTGAAGATCTGCAGCCATGAGAATACACCAGAGGTATGGACTTTAGAAATCTGGTAACAACAACACCTTTATATCCATGGAATAGTGCACATACCCCTCACAAGGGCTCAGTGCAGCAATTCAGATCAGCCTGGATACCTTCAGGTTTCCAGTACCCCATATCAAGAAGCCTCATACTTTGAGATCTTCTGTTGAGAAGAATTTAAGTAACAGAGACTGGCTAAAAAGCAGTCTGGGAGAAAGGCCTATAGGAAGTTTGGCTGCTTGAGATGATGCTTCAGATGGGCCCCAGAAAATTTGTCAGAAATTTTCATCCTAAATGCTTAAATCCTCTGCATTTGGTTTAACAAATCTCCCTCATCCAACCATTTTGGCCTAAAATCCTCCTGGGTTATTTATCATGTTGGTCTCTTTGATGGAAGGCATGTCTTGGAGGATGAACACTGCTGTTACAAGACCACATGTAAAGTGTGGGAGTTGCTAACCTGGCTGTGCAGTCGCTGCAGCTCCTCCAAACTCTGCCTCAGTTTCCCCCGTTCTCCCTCCATTAATTCCCTCAGGGCTCGTGAATCCTCACTGGTTCTCCTGATCTGTTCCTCTAAGGTGTCGTCGTCGCTTCGCCGAGAGCTCTGAGAGCGGGAGAGAAACCTCTTGCTCAGATTTCACTTTAAAAAAGGCAATTGTATTAATTTGGTACCAGTTTGGGATGAGGGTGCTAAACAATGAAAATGAAAACGTGAATGTGACTTTGGTAGAGCTTTTTGTTTCCATACACCTCCACAACCAAGGGTTCTCAACCAAGGGTAGTGCTTCCACACATGCTGCAAAGAGCATGCAGAGCTTGGCATAAACCAAATTTACAGAGACCTACTGCCCATTTGGTAGCCCACATGGCTACAGTCTCTGTTTGTGGACGTTTTACAGGACACTCTGTTTTATTTAACAAATACAACTTCATCTCTATACTCTGCCTATAGGTACTTAGGTGAGGAGGGTGAGTACTCCCTCACAGCCCCCTGCAGGGGCTACACTGTTTTCCTCAACACAACACCCCAAATAAGCCCTAATGGCAATGCAAACAGCTTGTAGGGAATGGGACCAGGCCTGATTTGAGCCACAACAAAAAGTGAGGTGTTTGCTTGTAATTCTGCACTTCTGTAGATGATGACTGGTCCCTCTGTGCCACCCCCTTTGCTCAACAGCCTGGGGACCACATCCTACAGACATCATCTTGTGCCAGCAAAACCCTTAACCTGCCATGGATTTGAGTTTGGCAGCTCCTGCCAAGACATTTTTACCAATGACAATTCACAAGGACAGGGCTTATGATGTTTTTGTGATACTATTGCTAATAAAGCAAGGTTAAGAAAATCCCAAAGGAAATAACCGAACCGTGATGTGTAAGGCAACCTGCAATATTTCCACGATGAAACTCTAACTTACTGAAAATCTCAAAGTAAGCCTACTTTTATTAATGTTCCAGAATGACTCCCAGACCAATGACAGCTGTACGAGCTTGAAACTTTAGGTGGTCTGAGCACTTCAGGCTGAAACCCCACGTGCTTGGCTCTTGGCTGACCATTTGAGACACAAAGAGTGGGCTGTGCCCTGTGCCACAGAGAGACACCAGGACCTTCAGGATCCAGCAGCATCTGCAGCAAGCTCAGGGCCAGGAGATGTGCCCAAGGTAAGGCCTCTCTGTGCCACCACCTTACCGTGGAGTCTGCCCCATCCAGCACGTTCTGGATGAGTCTCTTGAGCTCGCTGAGCGCGGCGCGCAGGCTCCCGGCGGGGACGTCTTTGGCTGAGGAGGTTTCTGAGGACTCGTCCATGGAGGAGTCGGTGGACACGGCCGAGTCGGCGCTGTCGTTGCCCCGTAGGTGGGAGCACAGGTACCTCACCTGGCAGTACGCCTCCCAGAGCTGCAGCCTCAGCTGCAACAACAGAGCCTGCCATTAGCCTGGGCTGTCAGGGCTGTGGAGAGCCTCCCTCCATGGCCAAGTGCTGTCACAGACATCTTTTATGAAAAATCCTTTCCTTAGGATTTTTTCTCCTGAGAAGCTGAGAGGTCTCAGGAACAAAATGTAACCAATGGTTATCTGCTGCTGTGGAATGCAACAGGTGCATCTGGGATTGGTCTCATGTGGTTGTTTCTAATTAATGGCCAATCACAGTTAGTTGGCTTGGACTCTCTGTCCGAGCCACAAGCCTTTGTTATCATTCCTTCTTTTTCTATTCTTAGCTAGCCTTCTGATGAAATCCTTTCCTCTATTCTTTTAGCATAGTTTTAATATAATATATATCAAAAAATAATAAACCAAGCCTTCTGAAACATGGAGTCAGATCCTCATCTCTTCCCTCATCCTCGGACCCCTGTGAACACGGTCACAAAGTGCAGTGTGGGATTTCCAGCACTCACAAATATTTGCCACATTGATTTGGAAATGGATGCAGAGGTTTACTTTCATATGGTCAAAGGGTGTTGATGCCAAACCCCAATCCCAATTTTCAGCTCCAAATCCAGATCAAATGCATTAAACTCCCTTTTGCTCTGGTCACAGAGGCCTGTGGGCTTCCCCAGAGGCTGGAGGGCAAATACCTGTTCTCGTTCTTGCTCCAGCTCCTCTGCCTCCATGCTCTGCTCTATCTCAGAGAGCAGGGATGTGCTGGTTGTGTTGAGGTTTTGGAGACTTTTCTCCTCGCTGAGCTCCTCCACCTTGCCCTGTAGCTGCCGGTAGGACAGCCTCACCTCCTGGAGCTCCAGCTGGCTTTGGTGCAGCTTGGGAAGAAAAGCAAGGAAACAGAAGAATATTAATGGAGGCAATATGGACTGGATCAATCTCTTGGTTTGTGAGGGAGCTGGGAGGGAGGAATGAGTGACACAAAACAGGGTTTCCAGCCAGGAGGAAAGTACTCTTGGCTGGTATTGCTGTTTATTGGAGCCTAATAATCTCTAAGTGTCATTAGGCACTGTTTAGAATCCAGAATATCCAGAAAGATAAAAATAGCAGATTAATCAGCACTAAAATGGAGAACATTGTGAAGAAGTTGGGACTCAGGTAAAAAAAATTGCTGAAAACAACACAGCAGGAAGTGGATCCAAAGAGAAAGTGCTATCTACATGTTTTTTAAAAACATATACAAATATATATTTAAAAAAGGAAGAATTACTCAGGGTTGTTTTACAGAACTGAGGATTCAGTGCTTGGTAACCCACAGAAGTGAAATGGAAAAACCTTGCTCTGCCCTAAGCCTCAGAGGGGCCAAGCTCGTTTTCTGGGGAGTGACATTTGGTGATTCGTGGCTGTGAACACCATGGAGATTGTTGGGAAACTACCTGAGCACTGGGATCTAAGAGGTCAGTGACAGCCCTCTGGAACAGCAGAGATCAAGAGGGGCTTCTCTGGATCTAGAGAAGCCCCTTTTGAAGCCAATTCTACAAATGAAATAAAATGAACTGTAACCAGAGTCCTCTGATTCTTTTTGCATTTACCTTATTTCCCCAGTACCCTGCCCCACTTCCTTGCTCAGATCTCCCTCCTAAGCTGCTCTTTGCTGTCAAGATGCCTCGTTGATGTTCCTGTTACCTGTCTTCACGGGGAACACCCCGGACCTTGCTTGCTGCCATTCTTGCATGAACCATTTCATTCCTCTAGTTGTTCTGTCTCCCAGTTTGTGGCCAATTTTACCCCAAATCATGACTTTTACTGCATCTCCCCATTCCCTCACTGCTGCCTCCTCACCTGCAGGTCCTTGTCATGGCTTTGTCTCTCCAGGATGAGCACTCGGTCCTGCAGCTCCTCCACGGTTCCCTGGAGCAGGTCGTTCTCCTCCATCATGGCACTGAGGCGATGCTCCAGCTCCCTCTTCCTGTCCGTCAGCATCTTGATCTGCAGGGCAAAGAGGCCCTGTCAGACTTTGCAGGGAGCAGAGAGGAGAAATACCACATTCCCAGGAGAGAAATGAAACAGCAACAAGCAGAAGGATGTACACAGATGTTCTGTACCTGTATGACAGAAACCATCTCTGTGTGTGGTTTAAAGCTTAGGAAAGCTCTGAAAGGAACCAACTCCTTTCCCAGGCTGCAGGACCTGCTCCAAAGGGGCTGGGTGTGTACTGGCAGGAATATGCAAGGCATATTCCTTGAAATCAATATTAACTGGAGACCACCCCTGCCCACCCCTTGAACCTGAATATTCAAAAGACTGGGAAGAACTGGTTACTTTTTTGGCTGGTCCTGATGGTGGCATTTTCTTCTGTATAGGTGCTGGAGATCACAGGGTGAGCCAGCACGATACAGGGTGAGTCTGTGGGATCCTGCTCCCTGCAGGGAGGGCTGTGCCACAGCACTGCCCATTGCTGTTCTTAATTGGTGTGTGTTCATCAGGTCCTCACCAGGGATTTTTCTGTCTTTTCAATTGTGTAGACTCTTTTCTGTGCCATGCTTATTTTTAGCTTCCCAGTGATCGGTTGCCTCCAAAATTGGTTCATTTCTTTTAATTGTCAAGGGCAGTGATTTCAGGCAAGGGACAGTTTGCCAAACAAACCCTCCATGACTCAGTTAGCTGGGAACAGTGCAAGGGATGAATCAGCACTAGCCAAGGTCACTTCTTTTGTTTAACCAAGAAGAAGGAGCTTTTCCCCACATTAGTACACACAGGATCTCTGGGGTCTGGTATGCCAGCCATCCACCAGTCTGGCATAACCCTAAATATTCCTTATGGCCTCCTTTCAGTTCATGGAGCGTAGACAAATTCAGCAAATTCCTACTGTTTTCTTGGCCTCTTTGGGACCTTGTCTCTTTGCTGCTTTCTGGGTTGCTGGAAAGATCTGGCTGCACAAAGGAGTATCAGCCAAGTATGTGGACTTGCTATTTCTGCAGAGTAAAGGCTGCTGGAGGTATTGGAAAGCTGCTCTGAGGTGACTAATGGTTTCTGAGATGTCTCTGCCCACCACCACCATGATTTGCATGGGTTGAAAAAAGAAAAATAAGAGGTTTAATGGAGAGATTGTATCAAGATTTCATATTTGGTAGGCAGAGTAATGAACATGCTGTAAATAACAATACAACATAAAAAACACCGCTCTGCCATGAGCCCTGGACCATGGGAAAGGCACAGGGGGAAAGGGTTTGGAAAGCAAGAGACAGGAAGGAGGTGAGGAGACAAGGTGTGGCATGCATGGTGACAGGCATGCATGGTGACAGCAATGGATGTGCAGGCAAACCCTTTCCAAGCCTCCATACTTACTTCAAGGACTTGCTGCTCCACACCAAGGGGAAGGGAGGAAAAGGCGAGGGACCAGCAAGGAGCAGGTGGGAGCGGGAGAAAAGAAATCAAGAGATTTTAGGAAAAGCTTTTCCAGACAGCTTTTAAATAAAAGAAGTGGTTGGGTAGTAGAGTTGGACATCTTCTACCCATCTTCTACCTGTCTATGTGATCCCCAGTGAGCCTGTCAGGGAAGGGGAAAGGAAGGAAGTTGTCTCATTCGTGCAAATGTACCTGAGTTAAAACAGGCAGGGGCTCCTTGCTTTCCCAAGTGCATGGCTCAGAGGCAAGAGAGGATTGCTGCTTTCTTTGCAAGCATGAGCAACAGAGGAAAAAAACCCTTGCAGACCTTCCCACCATTCCTACCAGAGTTTAGTCTGTACTGGACAGCAGCCCTGCAGGAGCACAGCCATAGTTTGGCTCCTGGAAGATCCTTCTCATCCATTCATTTTGCAGGAATGCTGTGGCAAAGGCAGCACTGGAAGGTGCCCTGAGCCAGCCCAGCCAGAACACCATGGAGCAATCCTTGCTGGGGGAGTCCTGTGCCACAGTGCTGCCATCCCTCTGCTGGCTCCACTGGCTGACTGTGTTTGCCCAGCTCAGAGAGGGTCATTACACAAGCTCCAAGAGCCCTGGCTGCTTTCTGCAGGAGGGAGGCAGGTGACTCACCTCGGCCTGGAGGCTCTCCAGCCGCACGATGTGCTGGCTGCTGGAGGAATTCTTCTCCCGAAAGTCCTCCCGGAGGGTGTGGACCTGCAGGGAGAGCTGCCGCTCCACCTCCGACGCCTGCAAGGAGACACCAGCTGCAGTTACCCCAAAAGCAGCCCTCTCCTCCTGCCCAGGGAAACCCACCCAGATACACCTTCTGCACAAGCCCAGTTTCTGCAGAAACTCTGAATTTTGCAGAGTTTGGGTGAGTGAAAATCTCATCCTGGACAGACAGTGGGGAGAGCTGCCATTTAAACCATGTTGATTTTTCCCTTGGGGCAGCCAAGAGGACACAGTCCATAATTTTTTTCACTGCAAAAAAACATGATGACTCCTGTGTCCTAAAGGAAATTCACTTTGCCTTAAAAATTGTAGCCTAGCTGGGGTTGAGGAGAAGACCAGGAAACACTCCTATTAGATTTACACTCTCTTAACCTCTGAACATCTTTGGCACAGCTCTAATATAACAAGTACTCTTTGCCTTTGATTCCCAGCTCCTGTCAAGGCCAGATGGAGAAACATCCAATGCACATGACTGTCAGTGAAGGATCCCTGGGCTTGTCCCTCTTTCCCATTTTGAAGCAGAGATGCCCCACTTATGCAGGGTGGTTTGAGGACAGCAGAAAGGTCATTCCTACCTGCAGGATCCAGGCTTGAGGCAGCCCTTACAAATGACAGCTTAGACATGTTAAGGCCTCTCCAGGCAGCTTTATGGCTGATTCTTACATGTGAACACACTTGCTTAGGCTTGTGAGACAACAAGGTTTTTATGACTAAACCCTAAAGAGACAGCAAAATGGACAGTTTTCTTTTTAATTAGCTTTCATCAGGTTCCATTACACTTAGGCACAGAGCTCCAACTATGCCACAGGGGCTGGGGTTGAGCTGATTCCCCCCAAGAGGTGGCATTGCTGTCCTGCTTGGGGCATGTCCAGTGGCAAAAGCCACAGTGCTTTAGACAGGGAGGTGAGATGGGAGGGAGGGATTGGAGCCAGCAGCTGTGGGCAGGCTGGGGAATGCATCTTCAGGTCTGGCAAATGTGGGTCTGGATTTTCTCCAGGTGCTCTGACAGTGTCCAAGGCAGAGCTTCACCAAAGGGTGCAATGACTCTGCTCTAGGAGCTTGTGACTGGAGCAATGAGCACACAGACCCAGCCTGAGCTGCCCACAAAGGCAACACTGCTCCCTTTTTAAAATGATCCCTTATTTTGCACAGTCTGCAGCAAAATATTCCAAACCAGAAGCATGAAGTAAAAGGCTGTTCCAGCTCCATCAAGTGGAGGAAACTGGTGGCCTCAGCACTGTTTGCTTGGAGGGGCAGCAGCAGACAGAAGTGTGGCCACCAAATCAGGCTCTGACCACTGGCTCCTAAAAACAGAAGTGTGTTCCAATGGAAAGAAATAATCTTGTCTACCAATTGGTTTTTAGTTCCCTTCTTATACTGTTTTTTCACTCTTCTTTAAAGCCCCATATCAGAACCCTTTGCAGATTGCCAAATGGATTTAATAAAGCTTCCTTGCTTGGGCAGGATACACAGAATATAATGACAGCACAGCACTATAGGAAGGGGGTGGTTATTTTTCTTCCCTTAAGCAACTATAGGTTGCAAAGCATCCTGAGCAGCTATTAATTGGTGACACTAAAGAAGATGGATGGATTGTGCTTTTTCTGAATGATTCACTTGCTTTTGTAATGACTGCTGAAACATCTTCATGCTGAAACACTCTGCAGGAGCTATCAAGGATGAAAAAGCACCAGATGAAAAGCACTGAAGGATTTTGCCTGCAAGATGCTGACCACACTCCCAAGGAGCACAAGTGGCCCCAGAGGAGATGACACACCAGTATTTGATAGCTCACTGTGTAACATAATTTATATGCTTGAAGAATTCTACATACAGAGAGTATATAAATGTACAACAGAGCAGTAAGGAAACAAGGCAGTATTAATGGCATTGTAAAAATCCCTGGTAGGAGAATATATAGCTGCTCTTGCTCGTTCTGCTCCCCATGCCCAGACAGGAGCAGGTGAAGGGATGAGCTGCAAGGATGATTCAGATTGTGGAAAGTCTGTTATATGAAAGGAGTCTAAAAAAAGGATGGCTTGTTTTATCTCATGCAGTGAATGCTGAGAGAGGACTCCCTATAAATACATCACGGATGAGCACACAGAAGGGAGAAGCGCTATTTAAGCAGAAGCACAATTTTGGCAGAAAAGAAAGATGTGAATAAACCGGATAAGAGTATATTAAGGCTGGCAATAGGAAGATTTCTACATTTTCAAGGACCTGCTGTAGGATTCCTCTTCCTGCACCATTACAGTAGTAGAAATGGTGGCAAAAAAATTAACTTTGTAATGGAGCTGGGTCACTTTATCATGCAGCTTCTTTCAGAGGGCTGCCTGTGACAGAAGGGAAATGAATTGACCTCAAAGGTCCTCTCCAGTACCAGGCTGCTTGCAGAACTGTAAGACTTGTATTCACCAGCATTAAATCATCATCTGGAATTTATCTATGTGCTGCCCAGCTCACAGGTTCACACATCTTATTGCCACAATTATAACCCACATGGAGGGAAAAAAAGGACTCAGTTACTGTTAGTATTTAGAGCCCTAAAGGCAGACAGGATGTCACAGTGTCACCTCAGTGAACACCACTTGCATCCTACCTCATGCAGTAGAGAAAAGCAAAAACAACACTTGCTTTAGGCTCACACAGTACAGAAAGTACTCTCTGACCAGCTGTTTAGCAGAAGTAAACAGAAATGACTGTATTTTGTGTTTCCCTCCACAGGCTAACTAGAAACAGTCTTCATCCAGTTTTTCTAGACATGAAACGGTCTTCTGAGCTGAGCTCTGGCCATGGAATCTTCCTTGTCATGCTACATTTGTTTCAGAGGTTATTAATCCTGCTGCCAAACTAACCTTTCTAATTGATTGTAAAGGAGAGATTTTAACATCAGCTTGCATTAATTTATGAAGGCCACCTTGACAGTGTCCAGTATTTCTCAGGCTTTATGGTGTATATTCAGACAGTGTCTGCTTCAGCTCTCAGCACTGCTGGTGGTGTGCACCTGTACATGTGTGTTTTAAACCATGAGATTCCCACTGATTACTTCTAACATGCTCTTTTTACTTAGTGGCTTCAGTGAAGATGTAACCTTCCATCTCCATCTCCTCTTTAATGTTCAATATGGCTTTTGCTGAATGGAAGTGAGTTTGTTCTGCCTCAGCCAGCCTGTAGGGCTTTCTCTTCTCCATCAGTGTTTCCTAAACATTAAAAGCTAAATCTTTTGTGGTTCTGTCAATCACTTAGCAATGCACTGATTTTCCTAGAGACAAGTAATATTCTTTACAGAAAGGAGACATATATTGCCCAACATCACAGCTTTGCTCTGTAGTTAAAAATGAATTAATTTCCTCAGTATGGGCAAATTGGCCAACCCAGCCGCCAGGCAAGATTTGAAACATATCTGCAAAAGCATAGACATCAATTCACAATTAGATATATCCAATCAACTGTGAGATTTGTTTTCTGGTCTTCAGGCAAGGTTTCGATGAGATTTGGGCAGTGCAAGAAGAGCAGGAGGACATTTTGGCTTCTGCTCTAATTAAGGGCTTTTCATCATTGCAAACTTGATTAAGTTTCTCTCATGATTAATTCCCAAGTGTTAAAATACACAAAGATCTACATGTGTATATCTCTGGCAGAAAGAGATGCTTGCCAGTTACAAGAACTCCATGAGGTTTAACATCTGGAATGTATGAGCAATAAATACATAAAACAAATATAAATAAATTGGACCACTGATGTTCCTGTGAAGGGGGGATCTTTGAGAAGTCAGGGATGGACTGTGACAAATTAATGGCCTGTAGGTTAGTCCTAGTCAAAGAAAACCTTCCTCTGGGGTAAGAGTTGATAAATAAAGCTAACTGATTACAAAATATCTAGCTATAAGTCATGTCACAAAGAAAAGGAGAATGGAAAAAGTTAAATAGACTGTAGCTGGGTGGAGAAACCAATGTTTCCATATGATTTACTTCTACAAACAAGATGATTAAGATTTAACAAAGGATATTGAAGATTTTCTTGCCTAAAATAGCTAAGAAAGAGAAGTTCTAATTAGTGCTAAATTTGTAACACTCAGGAGAGCGTGTTACCCTTTTTATTAATTTGCTAATAGCTGAGTTCAAGGGACTTCCAGTTCCCACTGTGGTCCCATTAACACTTCAAACCACTAATTGCTGCCTCCCCTGGCTGCAGGTTCCTGGATTCCCAGCTCTTCTCTGGAAGGAAAATATATTTGGCTACTAAAACATAACCAGAGCAGGAAACAACAACAACAGCAACAACAAATTGCTTTAGATTAGTAATTTACAAAAAAATTGTTAATCTGGCTTCTGAGGGAAGTCCCAGAGGATTGGGATTGCTGTCTTGCCACTGCAGCCAGCATCCTGGTGCTGGAAGAACCCTGGTTTTTTTGGGTACTTGATCCATGCCAATAAATTGGCTGTTTCCTAATCCTTGGCACATTGGCACCATAAGCCACAATCAATATTTTGCACACCTGGAAGTTGCTCGGTTTGGGAATCTTTGAGAGATTTTTAGCAAAGCTTTGAATGCAGGTCAACTTCAAATTCTTATTTGAAACGTTAGTCCATCCAGGAAAAGTTCTTACATAATATAAGTGCTTGTATTCACCACCTCTTGGGGCCTTCAGCTTGTATTTGCTGATTGATGTGCCCAGAGGGATTCCCTGTGGAATTCTCTGTGGAGAAGAGCAGTGGCACCCTGGTGGGCTGGCCAGATGCCCACCCAGCTGCTCTCAGCCCCCCTTCTCAACAATGGGCGAGAAAATAAGATTTGAAAGCTTGTGGGTTGAGACAAAGACAGGGAGATTACACACTATTAGGGGAATTTGAAGTTAAAACAGTGGCCAGTAAAGTAAAAGGCAAAGCTCAGACCAACCATTGCCTTGGATTAGCAATGGGGATTTTTGTGGTGAGGGAGAGGATGGAACTGTACTGAGGGTGGATATTGCCCATCCTGGTGGGGTTGTTGATGGTGCTGTTTCCTTTGTG